TGCAGTCCTACAGACTGTCCCTAACTCTCACGCAGAGGAAATCATCGTTACCACAGAGCAGGTCACAAAGGTTTTTAAACAGCTGAACCCAAGGAAGGCCTCTGGACCAGATAATGTGAGCCTCAAGACGTTTGCTGAGGAGCTTGGCCCAGTCTGGCAACCCATCTTTCAGTTATCCATCGACTCACACACAATACCACAGGCCTGGAAAACATTTCATTTCATCCCCATCCCCAAAAAGCCATGCCCCAAGGAGCACAATGAGTACCGACCAGTGGCTCTGACCTCAGTGCTCGTCAAATCTCTGGAGAGAACCTAAAACTCTCTGCGAAGAGGAAACTGGACCCTTACCAGTTTGTCTATAGAAACGGGTGCAGTACAGAGGATGTGGTGACCACCCTCACACACCTGATCCTGAAACATCTTGACCAACCAAAAACCTACGCCAGAGCACTCTTTATAGATTCTTCCTCTGCTTTTAACACCATACAACCACACCTTCTACTAGCCAAAATGAAAGAACTGGACATTAACCCACACCTCATTCACTGGTAATACTCATTTCTCAGTGACAGAACTCAAGGTAAACAACACTTTCTCCCCTCCTGTGGTCATCAACTGCGGAGCCTTGCAAGGTTGTGTGAGCTCACCCGTCCTTTTCATTCTGTACACCAACGATTGCACAAGTCAAAACACCAAGCATCACATCATTAAGTTCTCCAATGACACCATCCTGCTGGCCCTAATGGATGACAACAGCGACCTCCCACTGTACCTAGACAGTGTAAACAGCCTTGTGCTTCGGTCCTGAATGTCACAAAAACACAGGAGGTTATCTTTGAGCCCAGGTCAGTGGCTGACCGAAGCCAGGTCGTCATTCACAGTGAATATACCCAGCAGGTCTACTCCTATAAATACTTGGGAGTATGTTGATCATGCCCTGAGATTGAGTGTCCATGTGGACTATGTGTGCTAAGGTGCAACAGCGCATGTACTTTCTCCGCAGGCTGAGGTCTTTCGGAGCAAGCTTGGAAATACTGAACTTGTTCTTCTGCTCCACTATCCAGAGTGTTTTGCAGTACTGCATCACTGCTTGGTACAACAGTGTCATGGTACAGGCAAAAGCCAGGGTGACAAGTCTGCTGAAAACTGCTTCAAAAATAAATCGGTAAGCTGACCAACAAAACCTTTCTGAACAGCTACCACACAAACATGCTGAGGATGGCAAACAAAATAGCAGAGCACCCTTCCCATGTGCTCAACTCAGAGTTTGTGCTCCTGCCATCCAGGAAGCACTACAGAATCCCCCTGTGCAAACTGGTCAGGTACAAAAACGAATGTGCCACATGCACTCACCCTTATGAACAAATAAGGAGGACATTAGGGACATGGGGATACAGTAGATTCACTCATTTGGGAACGGGCAATAGTGAAAAGTGATAAGTGAAATATAACTAAATGTGTTAAATAAGCATGGACATTGGATCTATAGGGTTGTGCAATAACATTACGTGCAACGATCAGGGACCTTGGACATTAAGGAGATGTGTAACATTGAGTATAGGAGGGACAGCATTGTAATGTGGAAGGGAGGGGTAAGAGTCCTTAAGCTGTCATTCTTGTTTAATTTTTTCATGAATGTGTATGTTTGATGTTATGTCTGGCCTATGCCATGTCTCACCATATCGCAGTGGATTTTCTTGTATGTAAAGTAAATATCTGTGAAAATCAGACAATATAGAAATATCTAATCTAATCTAGTGGAGAGCCTCATTCTGGTCCAAATATGATAATTAGGGCCCTCACAGAATCCAGGCATTAAAAAATATTAAAACATGTATTGACCTTAGTAGGGAATCAACTAATGTATTGAAAATGTATTAATTTGCCCAAGTTTAGTTCATAAGACATGAACAGAATGTATCAGTGATTCGAATTTCCTGCAACTTTCTGAAGAGGCAACGAGAATGCCCCTGTCTATGTGTGTGTGGTGCGAGTGTTTACCACTTCGTGTAGCCATTAGCGATGATGCTAACTACATCCCAAAATAAAAATGTATCTAGTTTTTTTCCAGACCTCAAAAGTGGTCTCCTGATGTGGTTTAAGCATTGTTATGGATTTAGAACATCCAATTTTGTTGTTTTTCTAATTAAAAAAATGAATGTTGAGAGCAAAAAACATAAAAAATAAGCATAAACCTGGAAAAACTAAACATTTAATGTATTTGTCAAGATACTTCATTTTTCATTTTTAATAAAATACATAATTTGAAGAACAAACATCATTGTGGCAATTCATATCTTGAAGTAAATAAGACTTTAATCTCAAAAGAAGACAGGTTAAATGTTAAAAAAGGTTTAATATTATCTTATTTAAAAAATTGTCCTGATCATATAGGCCTAGACCAAGACAATATCCAAAACAATTAACAATACAAGGAGACATTGAGGCACCAATAAACTTAATGATCAAACAATACATTATGGGTTGTGCTGTCAAGTAAAGTCAGAAACTACATTCTCTGGGTTTAGGCATATCCCAGCCCACTGGCTGAAAAGTATTATCAACACCTGTTCAGTGTAACAATGTTATTTTCTTAATGCTATTGCTTTTGTTACTTACTTGTGCATAAAATTTACTCTCACATCTTTAACTCAACATTGTCAATATCTCTCACCTAATAAAGTTGTCTGTATTGCATAAAATAGAGTGTGTATTCATCTGATGAGATCACCTCTTTGTAACCAAATTCTAGTGCAACAAGCTGGTTGTTCTTCAGGGAGAATGGAGGCTCAGAATACTAGGAGAAGAGGACCACTGCCATCTAGTGGAAATAAACTCACTAATGGGCCCTTTCTATCCAATGAGCAATGTGCTGTGTCTGCATGACATGTGCAGGGCCAGTGAGTTTTTCCTGGTCAGGAAATTATACATCTTAGTCTGGGACAAGAGTATTTTCTGACCACCTTATCAGACAAAAATGTTAGGTATGATTACTTTGGAGTTTTCTCCTGGCCATTGATTTGACATATGAAAATGTCTGTACGCACCACTGTAAGTTGCTCTGGATAAGAGTGTGTGCTAAATTACGTAAATGTAAAAAAACAAATAGTCTAGCCTACATTGTACAATCACTACAGTACATTAAAATTAGCAATAATAACACTGACAATAATACAGATTTTGAACATTTCCTATCACTATTCTGATTATTTGATGTAAAGAAAGCCCTTACTGTACTGCTGGGTGGCTGGCGCTGGTCTGGTGTGTTGAATTTGACAGTGGTAGTGATGGGCTGTCTGTGTCCACTCTGTCATTCCATGACACAACTTCCAAAGGCTGAATAATCTTTCTGCAGAAGACCTGTGAAGTATTACGAATTTATCACATGTATAACTTTGACTGGTTCTGTACAATAATAAGCAGGCAAGCCTAGGTTTGAGTCACAGATGGGATGTTGAGTTTTTATTTGTCACAGATCACACATCATGTGAAAGTATGGTAGGTAGCATCTTTAATTTTTCTAAAAGTGTTTCCCCAGACCAATGTGTTTGTTTATGCAAACTAACAAATCAACACCAGGTTTACAGATACATTTTGGTTTAATATCTTTACATTTAAAATGATGCACTCTCAAAATAAACAGAATGTTTCACTTGCTGTGTGTTAATAGGTGTATGTGATGAAAGAAGTCCTGCACCTGCAAGTTACCTGATGTGTGTACACTGCTTCTAAACTAATATGGGTTTAAAGTGAACCTATGCTCACATAACAACAGCCATACCATTCCTGTAACATCATGAAAGACAGCTACGCAGACAGATATACAAGATAGGCAAAGACAGCTAAGGTAGGAGCAAAGTGCACAGCAGTCAGTATAATGGTCATCGGCAGAGAGCTGACGCAATAAGTTAGTCATTTAAAAGAGGGAGATTTCAATGACAGCATTGATAATTCCCCTCTGTTCAGTTGGCTAGAGAGCAAGCCTTGTCACACCTGGCTGGCATACTGGCATGAACAAACAGAGCAAAGCATAATGGGAAATGGGCAATAGTAGCTAATGCATTTCAGAAGATAAGGTGCCTTTATACTATTCAATTGACACGTTCACTTACTGGAGTACGTGATAGGCCTATCTGGCTTATATGATTATTATGGTCATAATGCTTCTTGACAGTTTCATAAAGTGTATTTTCTTAGTCCAAGTAAAGTGACACAGGATGGTCATAATGCTTCATGACAGTGTGATAAAGTGTATTTTCTACAAGTTATGTCAAATGTAATTTAAAAAATCATGACTGTAAAGAATTCATTACAACAACAACAACATCAAAGGATTTAAGAAACAAACTTTCAAACGAAAGGAAACTTCTTGGCAGGTAAAAAACTAATTTGAATAAATCTGGGTTTTGACACTCTTATGTAGGTATCATAACCAGCCATAAAATAAAATAATATACTATATGTCACAACAGGTGTAAATATATGGGTCATGACAGTGTTATGAGCATATTATGACAGGTTATGTCAGCCGTTATGACATATTATGTCATGGTTATGACCGAATGCACTGTATGCCCTCCAAGGCACACCCATGGCTGCACCCCTGCCCAGTCATGTAAAATCCATAGATTAGGGCATAATAGATTTAATTCAATTGACTGATTTCCTTATATGAACTGTAACTCAGTAAAATCTTTGAAATTGTTGCATGGTGAGTTTTATTTTTGTTCAGTATATTTCAGTGCCAGAAATATGGGAGGGAAAGGGAGCGATTGTTATTAGATTTGAGGAGTTATTGGGTTGAAGAGCCAAGATTAACTGAACTTCTGGGGAAATCTTCAGGGGATATAGTTTTTAATTATGTATTTCGTTTCCTTAGGGAGACGAGAATATTGGGTAGGATTTTGACCTTCCAGTTTCTGGTCCACACTCCAGTCCAGTTGGTGGCGGTAATGCACCTTAAAATTGGTTGCCAACCGTCATAAAAAATCCACAGAAGAAGAAGAAGAGCTTGACACAACACATTATTTGGACTATATCAGCTTCTGCAGTTGATCAGGACTCAACAAACGCAAAATGACTTTTTTAATGAATTTCTTTACGCTTATTTTCAAGGCAGTAACGTTGCCCCTCCAATTAATGGAGGTGGTTGGCATGTATGGCATCTACAAGCGTGTCTTTCCATTTCTAATGTACAAGATATCTTCGACCTACAACAAGAAAATGAACGACAAAAAGAAGGATCTTTTCAGCAATCTCTCAGAGTTCACCAAAGGCAATGGCCCGCTTCGCATTTTGGAGATTGGTTGCGGAAGCGGGGCTAACTTTGAATTCTACCCGTCTGGTTGCAAGGTGGTTTGCACCGACCCCAATCCTCACTTCGAGAAGTATCTACAGAAGAACCTGACTGTCAATGATCACCTAATATTTGAAAGCTTTGTGGTCGCTTCGGGAGAGGACATGGGGGCAGTGAAAGATGACTCCGTGGACGTTGTGGTCTGCACGCTTGTGCTGTGTTCTGTCAACGACATACCGCGAACATTGCAGGAGGCGCATCGCATACTAAGGCCTGTAAGTTGATTTTTCTTATTTATAGTAGAAACATTTGAGCGCTTATCCATGGGGAAAGGAAACAATACATCCATTCCCAAATTGAAAATATTGGCCATGGTCTCAGCTTTCAGCGTAGTTAAATTATGTTTTTCAGAGAAATGTCATTAACGCGCTGCTGTCAACAGAGATTATACACTGAGTATACAAAACATTAGGAACACCTGCTCTTTCCATGACAGACTGACCAGGTGAAAGCTATGATCCCTTATTGATGTCACTTGTTAAATCCACTTCAGTCAGTGTAGATGGATTTTTAAATAAGGATTTTTAAGCCTTGAGACAATTGAGACATTGATTGTGTATATGTGCCATTAAGAATGAATGGCAAGACAAAATATTTAAGTGCCTTTGAACGGGGTATGGTAGTAGGTGCCAAGCGCACTGGTTTGAGTGTCAAGAACTGCAACGCTGCTGTTTTTTCACGCTCAAGTTTCCCGTGTGTAACAACAATAGTCCACCACCCAAAGGATATCCAGCCAACTTGACACAACTGTGGGAAGCATTGGAGTCAACATGGGCCAGCATCACTGTGGAATGCTTTCGACACCTGGTGGAGTCCATGGCCTGACGAATTGAGGCTGTTCTGAGGGCAAAAGGGGGAGCAACTCAATACTAAGAAGGTGTTCCAAATGTTTTGTACACTGTGTATAACTGAGGTCTCCACTATTGTTAGGGCTTACTGTGTAGATTGTGTAGTCTTAATGATTGAAACTACTTTCTTATGAATATTAGGCTATAGCTGATAGCTGGGAAGTTGCAGTGAGCTATAGCAGCCACCAAACGTATGCAATATAGCTACACTGTAACTCATTCAATTTAGTTGATTGAATCATCAGAAACTACACAAGCTAGTGGGTAATGAATACACCACTGTGCAGGCACTTGAATCACTAAACATAAATGCCCTGCTGTGACTAGTTTTAGAAGACTGTCATGTTTATAAGTTTCAACTAAATAGTCAGTTACTTTCTACTAAACAGTGGTATGGACTGAAGGTGGTAACTTTTGTTGTTTCAATGTCCAACAGGGTGGTGCTCTGTACTTTTTGGAGCATGTAGTGGCGGACCCATCCTCTTGGACATACTTCTTCCAGCACGTCCTCCAGCCGATATGGTACTACTTTGGGGATGGATGTGAAGTAGTTAGGGCGACATGGAAAGATCTGGAGACTGCTGGGTTCTCTGAGCTCAAACTGAGGCACATCGAGGCACCGCTCAACTTCATGATCAAACCACATATTATAGGCTATGCTGTCAAGTAAAGTTTGACTAAAAAAATCTAAAAAGCACTTGCACATCGGAGTTATCTCATTGCAAGTATGTGGGAATAATGTGATGACAGTTTAAAGAAAAGAGAAACCTGCACAGTGCTCTTGCTTGTATCACGTATTTTTTTAAAAGTTATGTTTAAGCTATGTAAGCTTTAATATAATAAGTGATAAGCAAGAGTGCGTGTTTCTCTTTTCTTTAATGTCTTAAGGATCGGACCCTTTTTAAAAAAATGTTGTCTAAAATGACATACCCAAATCTAACTGCCTGTAGCTCAGGACCTGAAGCAAGGATATGCATATTCTTGATACCATTTGAAAGGAAACACTTTGAAGTTTGTGGAAATGTGAAATTACTATAGGAGAATATAACACATTAAATCTGGTAAAAGATAATACATACAAAAAAAAACATGCGTTTTCTATTTATTTTTTTGTTACAGAATCTTTGAAATGCAAGAGAAAGGCCACAATGTAATATTGCAGTTTAGGCGCAATTTAGATTCTGGCCACTAGATGGCAGTAGTGTGTGCAAAGTCTCAGGTTGATCCAGTGAAGCATTGCAAAACTGGACTATTTTGTATCAAGTCGGCCCAAATGTGCCGAATTGGTCAAATGATACATTTTCAAGTACATAACTATAGAGAACATAAAAAAATGATATGGTAATACAAAATGTAAGTTAACACACTGCCAGGAATGTCATACATGATGGATCTTTAGCTTATACACTAACTTTCACACATCTAGATGGCCGGGCGGGGTGGGTGTGGAGCCAGAGACAGCAGGGGTTCAAACTGTAGAACCCAGTTCCTACATTTGAATATAAAAATTGATTGTATCAAACAAAACTATGCTACATTTTATCTCTGGGACCCTTAGGATGACAAATCAGAGAAAGATTACTGAATGTAAGTACATTATTTACCTTCAGAGGTGAATGTATCAAACCAGTTGCCGTGATACGTTTTTTTGTTGTTGTGCATTCTCCTCAAACAATAGCATGGTATTTTGTCACTGTAATATCTACTGTAAATTGGACAGTGCAGTTAGAATTTAAGCTTTCTGCCCATATAAGACATGTCTATGTCCTGGAAAGTTTTCTAATTACATTAGCGCACGTTAGCTCAACCGTCCCATATACGGGACACCGATCCCATAGAGGTTAAAGTAAAGTTTGACAACAATCTCTGGTCTTAGGCCTATCCCAGCAACTGTTTGAAAAGTATTGTTGACACCTACAGTACCAGTCAAAAGTTTTGACACACCTACTCATTCAAGGGTTTTCCTTTATTTTTGCTATTTTCTACATTGTAGAGTAATAGTGAAGACATCAAAACTATGAAATAACATATATGGAATCATGTAGTAACCAAAAAAGTGTTAAACAAGTCAAAATATATTTTATATTTGAGATTCTTCAAATTTGCCTTGATGACAGCTTTGCACACTTTTGGCATTCTCTCAACCAGCTTCACCTGGAATGCTTTCCCAACAGTCTTGAAGGAGTGCCCACATATGCTGAGCACTTGTTGGCTGCTTTTCTTTCACTCTGCCGTCCGACTCATCCCAAACCATCTCAATTGGGTTGAGGTCGGGGGATTGTGGAGGCCAGGTCATCTGATGTAGCACTCCATCACTCTCCTTCTTGGTAAAATAGCCCTTACACAGCCTGGAGGTGTGTTGGGTCATTGTCCTGTTGAAAAACAAATTATAGTCCCATTAAGCCCAAACCAGATGGGATGGCGTATCGCTGCAGAATGCTGTGGTAGCCATGCTGGTTAAGTGTGCCTTGCATTCTAATTAAATCACAGACAGTGTCACCAGCAAAGCACCCCCACACCATAACACCTCCTCCTCCATGCTTTATGGTGGGAACTACACATGCAGAGATCATCCGTTCACCCACACCGCGTCTCACAAAGACACGGCAGTTGGAACCAAAAATCTCACATTTGGACTCCAGACCAAAGGACACATTTCCACCGGTCTAATGTCCTTTGCTCGTGTTTCTTGGCCCGTGCAGGTCTCTTCTTCTTATTGGTGTCCTTTAGTAGTGGTTTCTTTGCAGCAATTCGACCATGAAGGCCTGATTCACACAGTCTCCTCTGAACAGTTGATGTTGAGACGTGTCTGTGACTTAAACTCTGTGAAGCATTTATTTGGGCAGCAATTTCTGAGACTGGTAACTCTAATGAACTCTGGGTCTTCATTTCCTGTGGCGGTCCTCATGAGAGCCAGTTTCATCATAGCGCTTGATGGTTTTTGCGACTGCACTTGAAGAAACTTTCAAAGTTCTTGACATTTTCCGTATTGACTGTCCTTCATGTGATGGACTGTCGTTTCTCTTTGCTTATTTGAGCTGTTCTTGCCATAATATGGACTTGGTCTTTTACCAAATAGGGCTATCTTCTATACATCAAAACTATGAAATAACACATGGAATCATGTAGTAACCAAGTGTTAAACAAATCAAAATATATTTTATATTTGAGATTCTTCAAATAGCCACCCTTTGCCTTGATGACAGCATTATAGCCCCCCCCCCCCACCTTGTCACAACGCAACTGATTGGCTCAAACGCAGTAAGAAGGAAAGAAATTCCACAAATTAACTTTTAAGAAGGCACACCTGTTAATTTCAGGTGACTACCTCTTGATGTAGAGATAATGCTGTCATCAAGGCAAAGGGTGGCTATTTGAAGAATCTCAAATATAAAATATATTTTGATTTGTTTAACACTTGGTTACTACATGATTCCATGTGTTATTTCATAGTTTTGATGTCTTCACTATTCTTCTACATTGTAGAAATAAAGAAAAACCCTTGAATGAGTAGGTGTGTCCAAACTTTTGACTGGTAGTGTATGTATTCAGTGTAACTTTATAACCCTTATTTTACTAGGTAAGTTGAATCAGAACACGTTCTCATTTAACCTGGGGAATAGTTATAGGGGATGAATGAGCCAATTGGAAGCTGGGGATGATTAGATGACCATATTGGGAATTTAGCCAGGACACCGGGGTTAACGCCACTTCTCTTACGATAAGTGCCATGGGAGTCAGGACACCTATTTAAACGTCCCATCCAAAAGTTCACACCCTAAACAGGGCAATGTCCCCAATCACTGCCCTGGGATAATTTTTTTACACCAGAGGAAAGAGTGCCTCATACTGGCCCTCCAACACCACTTCCAGAAGCATCTGGTCTCCCATCCAGGGACTGACCAGAACCAACCCTGCTTAGCTTCAGAGGCTACCTGGCACAGCATACCACCAAGTGTTTTTTTTTTTTTAAGTACTTACAATGGCATATACACTACGTGACCAAAAGTATGTGGACACCTGCTCGTCAAACTTCTCGTTCCAAAATCATGGGCGTTAATATGGAGTTGGTCCCCCCCCCCTTTGCTGCTATAACAGCCTCCACTCTTCTGGGAAGGCTTTCCACTAGATGTTGGAACATTGCTGTGGGGACTTGCTTCCATTCAGCCACAAGAGCATTAGTGAGGTCGGGCACTGATGTTGGGCGAATAGGCCTGGCTTGCAGTCGGCGTACCAATTCATCCAAAAGGTGTTCGATGGGTTTGAGGTCAGGGCTCTGTGCAGGCCAGTCAAGTTCTTCCACACCGATCTCGACAAACCATTTCTGTATGGACCTCGCTTTTTGCACTGGGGCATTGTCATGCTGAAACAGGAAAGGGCCTTCCCCAAACACATCCTGGGTCATTTTACTTGGACTAAGAAAATACACTTTATGACACTGTCAAGAAGCATTATGACCATCATAATCATATAAGCCAGATGGGCCTATCACATACATGCCGTTATATCAGTCATCAGTCAAAAAGGGGGTGTCTTGTCCTGCTCCTGAAATCTGCTCCTGCATTCATCCCAGTCATCAGCAACAGAGCATTGGGGTAGTTGCATGTCTGACATCAATGTGTGCGCAATTACAATGATGCTAATTTAATATGGTCAATAAAAAAAAAAAATATATATATATATATATATATATATATACACCAAAAGTATGTGGACACCTGCTCGTCGAACTGCTCGTTCCAAAATCATGGGCGTTAATATGGAGTTGGTCCCCCCCTTTGCTGCTATAACAGCCTCCACTCTTCTGAGAAGGCTTTCCACTAGATGTTGGAACATTGCTGCTAGGACTGGGGCATTGTCATGCTGAAATGGGAAAGGGACTTCCCCAAACTGTTGCCACATATTTCTGTAAATACAGAAATATGTCATTTACATAAGTATTCACACCACTGAGTCAATACATGTAAGAATCACCTTTGGCAGCTATTACAGCTTTGAGTCTTTCTGGGTAAGTCTCTAAGAGCTTTGCACACCTGGATTGAATGATATTTGCCCATTATTCTTTTCAAAATTCTTCAAGCTCTGTCAAATTGGTTGTTGATCATTTCTAGACAACCATTTTCAAATCTTGCCATAGATTCAAAAATGTAACTCGACTACTCAGGAACTGTCTTCTTGGAAAGCAACTCCAGTGCAGATTTGGCCTTATGCTTTAGGTTATTGTCCTGCTGAAAGGTGAATTCATCTCCCAGTGTCTGGTGGAAAACAGACAGAACCAGGTTTTCCTCTAGGATTTTGCCTGTGCTTAGCTCCATTACGTTTATTTTTTATCCGGAAAAACTCCCCAGTCCTTAACGATTACAAGCATACCCATAACATGATCCCACCACCACTCAGTAATGTGTTGTATTGTTTTGCCCCAAACATAACACTTTGTATTCAGGAAAGAAAGTTAATCGCTTTGACACTTTTTTTTTGTTGCAGTATTACTTTAGTGCCTTGTTGCAAACAGGATGCATGTTTTGGAATATTTTTATTTTGTACAGGATTTCTTTTCACTCTGTCAATTAGGTTAGTATTGTGGAGTAACTACAATGTTATTGATCCGTCCTCAGTTTTCTCCTATCACAGCCATTAAACTGTAACTGTTTTAAAGTCACCATTGGCCTCATGGGGAAAACCCTGAGCGGTTTCCTTTCTCTCCAACATCTGAGTTAGGAAGGACACCTGTATCTTTGTAGTGACTGGGTGTATTGATACACCATCCAAAGTGTAATTAATAATTCACCATGCTCAAAGGGATATTCAATGTCTGCTTCTTTTAAAAATCCATCTACCAAGAGGTGCCCTTCTTTGTGAGGCATTGGAAAACCTCTCTGTTCTTTGTGATTGAATCTGTGTTTGAAATTCACTTTTTACAGATAATTGTATGTGTGGGGTACAGAGATGTGGTAGTCAGGTTAAATACTATTATTGCATACAGAGTGAGTCCATGGAACTTATGTGACTTGTTAAACACATTTTTACTTCTGAACTTGTTTAGGCTTGTCATAACAAAGGGTTGAATACTTATTGATACAAGACATTTCAACATTACATTTTTAATTAATTTGAACAAATTTCTAACAT